TTTTCGCTGGAGTTCAGATGATAGAGGGGGAAATTGCATACAGACTTATATAAAATTCTAACAGGATTAGACAGGGACAGTGCAGGGAAGATGGTCCCTACTATTGGTGCGTCCAGAACCAGCGGTCAAAGTTTGAGGATTCGAGGTAGACAATTTGGCATGGAGATGTGGAGACATTTCTTCAACCAAAGAGTGGTGAGCCTATTGAATTCATTACCACAGGAAGTAGTTGATGCCAAAACATTGAATGTATTCAAGAGACAGCTAGATGTAGCATTTGGGGCGAATGGGATCAAAGGTTATGGAGAGAAAGAAGTTGGACAATCACCCATGATCATGATGAATGGCGGAGCATGCTCAAAGGGTTGAATGGCCTCCTCCTGTTCCTATCTTCTATGTTTCTATGCCTAATTGCTCTGGAGAAGGTGGTGGTGGCGAACGACCATCTTGAACTACTGTAGTTCATGTGGTATAGGAAAACCCACAGTGTTGATAGGAAGTGAGTGACACAATGACAGTGAAGGAACAGTGATATAAATTCAGGCTGGTGTGCGACTTGCAAGTGATGGTATTTCCATGTTTCTGTTACCCTGTCCTTCTTGGTGCAGTGGAAAGTGGTGTTGGTGAGCCATTGCAGTGCACCTTGAGATGATACAATCTGCTATCACTGTGTATTAATGGTGGATAATTGAATACCCAAGGTTTTGGATGGGATGCCAATCAAGCAGGCTGTTTTGTCCTGTGTAAGCTTCATGAATGTTGTTAGAACTACACAGATCATAGATGTGCAACTTGCTTCAGAATTTAAAGCCTCTGACCTGCTCTAATAGGCTGCTCCAATCCAGTTTCTGGTCAATCCTGGTAATACTTGATACCCAATGATTCAAACATAATCTGAAATGTTGGCAGCACAACATTATTATCAGAGTGGGTAGAATAAAGCTTTAAGGGTAAGGAAGTGTTTGCTCAAACTGGAGCAGCACCAAGACAGGAAGAAGTTCTTGATACATTTGGAGAAAAAGAGGTGGCTTTCATATGCCAGCAACCAAATGGAAAAAGCAATTGATCTCCTCTGGGATTTAACACTTCCCTCTAGTACAGATTTGGGACCTTTCCAAGGGGCTCAAAGTCTCAAAGCTATCTTCAGTGTTAAGGCCATTGAAATATTACCCAAGATTCACTGTGTGAATGGGTACCTAACCAGAAATTGCACTAGGCTTTCGTCCAATGCAGGAGAGTGAACTGCACAAGGAAGACACAAATGCACTCCTCCCTCATCACTTTCTCCTTCTTCCCATCTCTCTAGAATTCCTGAGTCCTTCCACAGGGTAAAATCCAGGCAGAAATTGGCTTCTGCATACACAATGTATCCATTCTCCATTATTTCCAGAGCTGAATGGTCACAGACATTATGAGGTTTGCAAAAGCAATGGAATGCTTAATGCAGAGGCTTCAAATATCATTAGAATGTGCTTTGCTGGGCTGGGTGGATTTTGTCAACTTTGACTTATGATCAATATCCCAGCCAATCGCAAAACTGTCACATAAAGTGTTCCCTTCCAGCCTAAGAAAATACCTCTCCAAATGTCAACCATTGTCATTCTTCCCAAGAGTCAATTGCTAATATCTGGGCATAAATTCATAGACATTAATGCTGATCACTATTATTGTCAAGTTATTATTTCCAGCTGAACACTGTACATTATGAATTGTAAGTGCCAAAATTAAATACAAAAGTCTGATGGAGCAGCCATTCAAAACGAATATGGTCCTCACAAATTAGATGGTTGCACAGTTATTCAATTCTACCTGTCATCACTCAAATATTCTTAACAGTGCTCTTTCAAGAATTGAACAAATGACAGAACTTACTTCTAAGTCTAACCTAGCAGTTACTAATGATAAATGGAATAAATAAATTCTGCTGTCAAGGTTTATTCACACAATTCTGGGAAAGGAATGGTGCTTGATGTTCCTCAAACTGGCAGCTGTCCACAGTTCTTCATGGGCTTTTGAATATCAACATCCTGGCACACAGTGTCCTTGCTGCATAATAGTTGCTAGTGCAAACCAAGGCGTATTACTGAAGCACTTGTTTGATGACAATGTGGGGTGCATGTGGCTAGATCCCACTGAGAGTGCCAAGATGTTGGTGACCAGTTTCTGACACTAAGGTTGTTCAAGTGGTGAGCTGAATCCCCCAGGTGCTCACTCTGGTTCCCTTGTCCCTTGTCCACCAGATGGACTGGTGAGTTTGGAAAGCCAGGAGACTGAATATTAATCAGGTGAGTTGTGGTGTTAAAAAAGCATTTAACAACCAATAATGATGGTCAATTTGCATTTCGTTGCTGCCTGTTGAGAATCTCACCATGCCACTCATGAAAAGCAGAGAAGATAAAGCAAGATGATATCAATGTTGAGATGGGCTTCACTATACATGTACCCAATTCTATCAATGCATCATATTGCAGGTCACATGACTCAGACCTCAATAAGATTTCACCTTGTGCTCCTGAAAGAGCAGCAAGCGTGTGAAAGTTACTGTTGCTGGGAATTTTACAGGTCTCCTTATTGTATGTTCTTAGAGTGTTTGCTTCCTACAAAGCCAGTATTTAGTCAATAGTGCTTATTTTAAAGTATAGTCGAATGACCTGTTCTGAAGCCTTGCTGCCAGAAAGCAAGCTTGGGTTAAAGTGGGCCAAAATACTTATACTAGAAAGAAGGTCCAAGGTGTTTATGCTGAGAGACATTGCAAACTGTAAGCATGCTAAGAGTGTCTCCAAAGTCCCAGAAAGGTGGTGAGAAAGTAAGATGTAAATAGTATGCTTTAAGCTGTCCATTTATTTTCAAGATGAAAGAGTTAGGCTCGTGAGGATAGCATTTCTACCTGGATATATGGCCCATGGGATTCACCTCACCATGGTTTTGAGAGTGGAAGGGTTTCTAAGATATCCCTGAAACTCTCAGACAATTAGTCTGGCAGGATCCAGAGAAGGCAGAATAGCTACAGGTAGCAAGACACTATAGTTCACTACCCAGGAATGCTGATAGGAGCTTGGAATCAGATTGAAAATAACAAAGTCATGGGCTGTTAAAACAAGGTTAGAAGATTAGCCTAGCCTGAGCTAGAGGGAGAAGTACCCAAGAAAAATGACATCATGAAAGACAATTCTGGAATTCCACATTTCCAGGCTGTAAAATAAAAGATTCAAAAGTAAACCCTTGGGAATTAGGGATCAAGTTCAATTGATTTTGGGAGAATTACACATCTACTAAAAGAACAACACAGAGTCATAGTCGTAGAGTCATACAGCACAGAAACAGACTCTGCAATCTAACCGGGTCCATGCCAAACATTATCTCAAACTAAATTTGTCCCACCTGCCTGCTCCTGGCCCATATCCGTCCAGCCTTTCCTACTCATGTACTTATCTATGTGTGTTTTAAAAGTTGTAACTGTGTCAGAATCCAATACTTCCTTAGGAAGTTCATTCAATATGCAAACTACCCTCTGTAAAAAAATTGCCTCTCATGTCTTTTTTAAATCTCTCTCCTCTCATCTTAAAAATGTGTCCCCTAGTCTTGAAATCTCCATCCTAGACAAAAGACAACTACCATTATGTCTATCTATACACCTCATTATTTTATAAACTTCCATCAGGTCGTCTCCCAACCTCCTACGTTCCAGTGCAAAAAGTCCCAGCCTATCCAGCCTTTCTTTATAACTCAAACCTTCCATACCTGGCAACATCCTGGTAAACCTCTTCTGAACCCTCTCCAGTTTAATAATATCTTTTCTATAACAGTGCAACCAGAACTGGACAAGTATTCCAGAAGAGGCCTGACTAATGTCTTGTGAAGTGTGTTTCCTCAGTTATGCTACATATAAGAAGAAGCCATTCGTTCTGTGGTTTAAAGTATAAGTTGCCAGCAAAGGTATGTTTAGTCAATACCACTATTATTCTTCAACATAAAATCATATTGTGTCATCCTTTCAATATTAATTGGAAATTCAAATTTCATTATAAAAGCTTTCAATCTCTTTGGAGATCAATACAAAAGTAAATAATATAGATGAATTAAAGGGGAAACCAAATAAGCCAGTCAGGGAGAAGGGAATAGAGGATTGCAATGATACTGGAGGGATTGAGAGGATCACAAACGCCAGGATGGACTAAAGACAAAGTTGCTGGCAAAGCTGAGCAGGTCTGGCACCATCTGTGTAGAAAAAAATCAGAGTTAATATTTTGGGTCCCGTGAACAATTCTGAGGAAGGGTTACCAGACCCGAAACGTTAACTCTGTTTCTTCCCTTCACAGGTGCTGCCACACCTGCTGAGCTTTTCCTGCAACTTTGTTTTTGTTCCTGATTTACAGCATCTGCAGTTCTTTCGGTTTTTACCAGAATAGACTAGTTGGGCTGAAAAGCCTGTTACACTGACATATATCGTATGTACTTAAAATCATGCAGATGAGCTCACAGACTGCCTTTTATAATGGGGCAGAGTTATGAAAAATTACTATTAACAATTAATCTTGTTTTCACAGAAACTTAAGTTACCTTCTGACTTCTTCTAAATCTACAATTCCTAGCTGCCAATAAAATGTTACTCTTAACGTAATTTATGAAGTGTTAAAAGACATATGCCAATACACTTGTAACAATATTAAACACCTTGTCTACATTTTAAAATTTTCCATTCAAACACTCTTTCCTGATTTTCATTCGAACCAACCAAATGCAACATTAGACCCCCCCCAACAACACACACACCACCACCACCACCACCGCCCCCCACACCCACACACACACACACACACTTTGTATTCCACCAGCTTATGTTGTAATTTAATGAAAGACAGCTGATTTTCAGGTGGCCAATAGTGAGAAGCCCCCCTCAGAGTATTAATTGCAGAAGCAAAGGAGTGGATTTCATTAAATAGAACCATGTGACATATCTGGCCAGTTTGAACATACTTTACAAACATTTTCTGAAACAACTATTGGGTTCTTCCTACCGAATGCAGCTTCTGGTACAGGCCACATGCGTTGCATACATATCCACCGTTTGCATTCTTTCGCCAAAGAGAGGTCTTTGTGGTCAGGCAGTTGGCACAGAAAACTCCAGAGCCTCTGCGTCTCTGCAACAGCAAAAGGTCAAAGGTATATCATGTGATCTGTGAAGTTAGGACAAATCAACACAAGTGTTTTGTTTCCCTTCTGGCACAAAAAACCATGAAAATAAGTTGATCACGATAAGGTCCCTTTTAATTATGCTGCTTCACAATAACTGAATTGTATAAAAACGAATCACTGATTAAATATAGAAAACATATAAAAGCATTATTACATCAATATGCAGTTAGTGGTTATATTAATCTGATATCTACTTGTAGGATATTCATTATTGAAAACAAACACAACTAATTTTGCATTAGCAGCTCTCTTATAAAAAAATCAACTTAACTTGAAAGCTTTAAATAAGTTGGGAGAAAAGTACACTGTTTTACCTTCTTAATAACTGTCATATCTTTAGTACTTAAACAACACAAGTGTCCTGACATATTACAAATACAACAGTTATAACTCTCAAATCACAAATTAAATAGTGGATTTTCAATAACAATCTATCTAATGTTATTGATAAGTGCAGAGCAGCAATTTTAGATAAAAACCAAAAGAACTGCGGATGCTGTAAATCAGGAACAAAAACAGATGTTGCTGGAAAAACTCAGCAGGTCTGGCAGCATCTGTGAAGGACAAAAAAGGTTCTGAGGAAGGGTCACCGGACCCGAAATGTTAACTCTGTTTTTTCCTTCACAGATGTGGCCAGACCTACTAAGCGTTTCCAGCAACTTTTTTTGTAGCAATTTTAGATACTTTAATATAACTAGCCCCAAGCTTACACTTACGAAGAAGAATTATTGTGTGAGATGTTCATGTACAGAAACATAACCAACTCTGTGGCTGCGTGCCCAGTTTCAACTTCAAACTTGTGTCCTGCCCCAAAATTCAGATTTAAATCTCATAATATATTTCTTTTATCATTTATTTCTACATCTGCAGTATTGAACACCTCTGCTGCAACCACAGCTGGTGTCCTAATTCATCCATCCTTCATCCTCAGATGGGATTCATCTAATTTTTTCCTTGTTTGTGTCACAACCTTCACCTATTGATCATCTCAAATGATGCCAATGTCACTTTGTCCATTGTGTTATTGGTGAAGATATGCCAGCAGAACACATCTGTATTTTATGATTCAGACTGGCTCCCTAAGAGATCAGATTTTATATCACTGGTCCTGATTTGAAAATGAACTAAAATTGGTCATGGACTTGCTCACGCTGCAGTCTTCTGCAATGCACTCAACTTACTAGAGGGGAATTTGAACTTTCAAAGTCTGACTCAGAGGTCTAGATTTTTCCAGCTTCTGCACATCAATTAAGGAAGTGGGACCTTGAACAAAGTTGAGTGATCTTGCAGGAAGGATGTTCAACACAGCACAGACCAACCACCAGGCAGTGACAGAGATATTAATTAGGCTCATTAGTGGGCCAATTGAAGGAACGTTGACAGTGCTGCGATGGTTTTCCTGATGGACGGGAACTAAAAATGTTGGAGTCTGGGATTTAACATGAGACAGCCTCCTGACCTCAGGTCAGGTATCTCTGTATTGTGTGTGTTGGGGGAAGGCCTCAACACATTTTCTCACTCATCCCACTACAGACCTGCTAAGATGCTACAGTCACCTTGCTGTGACTCCACAATAATGACCTGACAGCTGCTGCCTGCTGTAATTTTTAATGTTCCACTGTTCTGTAAAGGGCGCCCCAATTTTCAGGCACCTTATGGTCTCTTGCCTGCCTCAAGAGTTCGCACCTCTACCAATGGGCCTGTAGGCCTTGCTATTGGCCATCCCTAATGCGATGGAGCTCCCAGAGAGAGTTTCTTCATTCCTGTCTGCAGGAAGATCACAATCAAACATGCTTCTTCATTCCTGTCTGCAGGAAGATCACAACCAAACTGCTGCTATGTAAATTGCAGACACAAAATTAAGGCCATTTCTGGATGGTGATCTAATCAAGAAAGCTCAGCCCAAAATGCCACCACTGAACCACTATCTACACTCTTTATAAAAACTGAGGCTGTTTTAAAATACGTTAATGCTCCTGTTGAAACTGAGGAAGTTCACACAAATATGTAAAATGGTAATGTGCTAAAATGACAGAGTGTTATACATGATCATTTATTCTTCTGTTACACTCAATGCCTCTTTGTTCCTCCCTTGCCCTTGCCTGATACACTTCATTCACTAAAGAAAAGTGAAATATTGAACTTTAGCGGAAGATTTTTTTTGGTGTCTTTGACTCTAAATGTTAAAACTTAGAAGTAGTTTATTCAAACTTCGCATCTCTGAAAACATGCTGTTTTGAACAGCCAAAAGTGTTGAACTTATCAGTGTATTGATCCAACTGATGATTATTTAGAATTTTCTGTTGCTAAATGTTAAACAAAGTGGTGCTTGCTCTGGATGTTTTATTCAATTCTGTATCAAATAAATTTCCATTTTGTTGCATTATGACATTTTTTTTCTCATTGCACTGAACATAAGATTACAAACAAACTGGATTGAGAAATATTTACACCACACATACTTTCTAAAATTCATTCTGTGGTGTAACTATCATTGGCAGGAGCAGTACTTATTACCTATTCCTAATTATTCGTGAGATTGTGATGGTGAGCTATCTTCTAGAACTGGTCTATATTATGATAGTAACTCTCTGTGTTGTGGAGATAAGGATTTCCAGTGACAGTGAAGCCACAGCAGTATATTTCCAAATCAGAATGGTGCGTGACTTGAAAGGAACTTGGAGATGGTGGAGTGTTGCCATGCATCTGCTGCCCTGCTCTTCTAGGGATAAAAAGACAAAGGTTTTAATGGTGTCGGTGGGCAGGCCTTGTTGATTTGCTGCACTGTTTCTTGCAAATAGTGCATGCTGCAACCACAGTGACCCAATGATGAAGGGAATGAATGTTGAAGGTGGTAAATAGGGTAGCATTCGCATGAACTGCTTTATCCTGGATGCTGATGAGCTTTTTGAATGTTGCTGGAGCTGCAACCATCCAGCTTTGCAGAGTCAGCAAGTCAGTTATCCATTACAGAATACCTTGTCTGACCTGCTCCTGCAGCCCACTATCGTATGTATATATGCATAGTGTGCACAGCACAGTGCTGAAAGATTTTGCTTACTATGAACATATTCAAGCATTTTTTTCTACTTTTTTAATATAGATTTTCAACCCTTTCAATATTCCTGATTTTACAGATACAGAATATGAATGAAGCCATTTCTCCTTAAATTATATGTGTTCAAAAATTGTTTAATCTTTATGTACATAAGTAAACCAATCGTGACTTCAAACTGTCCTATTGTTGATTCTAAATTGACGAAGACAATAAATGAATGTAGTAACACAGTGAAGGTAAGAGCCTTTATTTCTGCATCCCAAGTTTAAGACCATGCTAGATTCCTAAATGAAAGTATTTTTTCTCTGCTGACTGTGAGGTGTTAAGTGGAATAAGCTTAATCAATCTCAGCCCAGTCCTGATGAAGAAACTGGTCTATCCAAAATTACAAGGTAAAACAGCACAGAATGAAAAATGTGGGAAACAGAGAAAATTAGCAGAATTAGTCTAAACAGAGCTGTCCCACTGAAACACAAATAAAAGTTTCAGACTTATATCTCAGCTGTGAATCACACCTCTGATACAGTTCAGCATGAACAACAATGAGTTTCTCATACTTGAAATGTTTATAACATCTCATTATTTGCCATGGATGTATAGAAGAATGGATTCTCATCTTTGGAGGGCTATGCTGCACAGTACCCCACTCCACTTAAGTCTGCTCCCAGGGTGTACAACATCTGCTGGCTAATGCCAAATAATGTACTCCATTTCATGAAAAGTGTAATTTATGATTGCACAAGCTGTGCAAATATTTGATCAGATTATAATAACTTGTTTGCATTTTAGGACAATTATGGTTTATCCAAATATGCAGATACAAATTTTAAATAACTAATTTCAAATTCTTTTCTGTCCCTTTTCAGAATACTTCTCCATTCTTTTTAAATGCTACCTTCTTTTGCCAAGAGAACATAACCATTGTGAAAAATTGTTTAATAATGTTATTTACAGTTCTAAATGGGTGAAATTAGTTGGAAGTGATTTTAAGTTCAGCGACTGCCCATTATAACTGTTAAAATGTCAATAACATAGTCCATGCGGGCAGAAGTGCAGAACAGTTATATCAAGTGATATAAAATGCTCTCATCCTCTTTTGTAGGTAAGCAATTCAGAGAGAATTGAGTGATAAAACCCTAGTACCATTGTGTAAATGCAGGCTATTCTTAATCAATTCAGGTCTGAGACTTGCAATCGTTTAAAATTACATGCTCCACTGTTCACAAAGGAACAGAAAAAAGGGACTTCTTTAATTCATAGCCAAATTTTTGGGAAATTAGATACATCTTATAGTAGAAAAATGATTCCATTTTATTTTACTTTCTGTAAGTACTTCTCAAAAATTAAAACATGTTAATAAACTGTCAAAAAGTATTAACAGTTTTAAAATTTAATTTTTTCAAAGATCTTTCTTTATAAATTGAGTGTTCACCAAAAATAGCCAGGGAGAGTACAATGCTAATAATTGTACTCAGATATATTCAAAGTAGATGGCTTTTATAGGCACATTTCTGCCTTCAAGACTCAAGCAGTTTCTTGGAACAAAAAAGCACTTGATTCATCTGGCGTTTCACAATGTATTACAGAAAAAAAACCTGGTGAGCAGCCAGTTCCCTATAGGGTAATTTTTCCATCCAGATGCAAGTGCCATTGAAGGACTCGTCAGCTAAACTAATTACAATCTCGCATTTGCTGATGCCTGCTCACTCCAACATTCAACATTGTCCATTAATCATTGATACAAGGAAAATGAATGTAGCCAAAAGCAATGAGTACTGGTAGACTGCACAGCTATAAAACTTGAAATGACTGTAATAATTTAACTTGATTCCAGAAATGTTTTCAGTTAGCGATAAACAGTTGAAAACTCAGTCTTACAATTACCCT